GTTACGGTCAGTTGCCTGTTGCATCGCGCCCAACTCTTCGTCCCTTTCTTTCCTTCCTTCCTTCCTTCTTCTTGTCTCTTGGCAAATAAATGGTCCTCTTTCGTTCGTTATTTCGCCGGGAACTTTGCTAATTAGTATATCGAGGAAGTTTGTAATTCATCGTTTTCGCGAAAAACTGGAGAACATTCGCGACGAAAATGTAGAACATTGGGGTGTTAGAGGTGTTCTTCTGTTTTGTACGTTTGCTACGGTTTTAGCGCGATTCTGGGAATTTGAGCGAATTTTTGTGAGGTGGAAGGAGGGTGTTAACCCTTTCGCTCAGCGTAGAGTTTAGTATGCAACGCGTGTGACAGACGATGGACGCTCTATTATGGCTGTAGAATCTTTCGTTTCGGTGTTTTCAAATTTTTTGAAAATTTAGAATTTATCGTTTTTAAATTAAAATTTAGAATTTATCGTTTCGAAAGTAAAATTTAGAATTTCTTTCATTAACTTTATTGTTATTAAATTAAAGTTTAGAATTTATCGTTTCGAAAGTAAAATTTAGAATTTCTTTCATTAACTTAAGGTGGAAACGATAAAGAGCAAAAATTAAGGATTAAATTAAGGCGAAAGTGTGCTAAGCGCGAGAAAATTTTCAAAGCGCCAATAGACGCTAACAGCAGTGAAAGGGTTAAAATTTTCTGACAAATTTTTTTTTTAATATTTCTAACACTCCAGAATTCAGATACTCTAGGAGTGTAACAATTTTCGTCACAACTTTCTGTTGCTTCACATATGTTTGCTCACAATTTTAAGTCAAACCAGCAAAGGTCTCTTCGTGTGACAATAAAAAGTGGAACAATCGCCCTAAAATTTTCTAAAACATTTTTTTGGAAAATCTTTAACACTAGAATTTAGATACTCCAGGAGTGTAACGATTTTCATCACAACTTTCTCTTGCTTCAGGTATTTTTGTAAAAGTCTCGTCGATGTAATAACGAAAAATGGGACAATTGCCCCTTTATACGTGAAGTACTTTTTAATTTCTAAATACACGCCAGATGCCCTACCTCCACTTGCTGCAGCCACCATAATCCGCTCTCTCCGCATACTGATTGCGCTTAAAGACGCACTCGGTCACTTGGTCACTTTAAAACACGCATACCCTTAGAGCCTTCATCTTCCTAACACTCTACTCCCTACATTTCATACTTCCTACCAGACAAACTACCTATTCTTTCACTCGCACTTGAAAACGTCGCAACAATTGTCGAGTATCAGTCGATTCTCTCGAAAAGCGTAATTCCTTCTTCCTAGCTGAAAACACGTTCAATTTGCTTAGTTATAAACGAGTTTCGAGGAAACGTAGCGGAGTTAGGCAATTTTCTCCTCCTTTTAGAGCGTTTTAATGTCATCGTAAAACGAGAGTGCCTGTTCCATCCCTCCTTTATGTCACCATCAAATTTTCCTCGACTTGATTACACCAACTGTCTAATTTTTCACCCGGCAACTTTGCACTTCTTCGTTGATTCCACTTGTGAATCCTTGCTTTTTCGTAATTCTACCATTACCGTTCGTAGAAATATACAGATGTAATATCGTATTATCATCACAGTATATCATAGAAACAACGATAATTTTTTAATACGATTTGTACGTTTTTACACAGTTTCTTTTTGTTTCGAATAAAACTTGCTGATAACATAGCTTGGCCAGCGAAAAATACGCCTGATTTACTTGTTTTTGCAGGCTCAGGTCAGTAAACGCGTACACGAGGATCGCACGCGAATTTACTACAGTCTTTGAACAATCGTAAAGCGTAAGAATACTGCTAGCTCAGCTATAATGTTTTTACGCGCGTTCGCGAACCAACATCATCCCTGGAATCACCGTCGTTTCGTATAAATGACAGTCTGTTGATACTTATTATGTTTCACGATGTTGATTTTTCTTTTCCAGTTGTTAGTATCTTTCAGTTTATCATCGTAACGATTTATACACCTGCAATAATAATATAATAAAAAATATAATAAATTGTCACAGAATTGTCTGTGTACAAATTAAATAAATTGAAGCGACGACGCGAATTAGGATGAAATTTTCATCGAGGTTGGAATTTCAGCGAAAACGATTAAACGTGGGAAAAGAATATTCCCTTTGGTAGATCGCCTCAGCGTTTTTCGCGAATTTTCATTATGCGGTTTAAAAGCAATCGATGTCTGTGAACAGCTCAATACATTTACTTTCCCCCCTGTAGAAGCGAATGAACTTTTGAAGTGTATAGATCGAGAGAGAGGGTTACGCATTTCTCTGCGGGCTGCTTTTCGAATAGTATTTTTAATTCAGCTGGTCTATTCGTTCCGAATTGCGGAGAACAACGAAACTTTCAGCTCGAACGTAACAGTTTTAGTCAATTAAATTTGTTCAATTTCATACGAAGTTTAGCTTTTAACGTGGCTATTTCGAAGTGTTCCTTTAACACGTTTGCTATTTACAGTTTGGATAGCTTATGGAGAAAAAATGTTTGATTGTATTTTTATTACTATTTGTTGATTGAAGTGTGGGAAGAATATAGATATATGGATATTCTTTTGATACTTTTGAAAACCAATTTTTCTGTGTCGCGAACATCGTAGGTTGAGTAAATTTACTAGACAAATACGCGTAAAAGTGATGTTTGAAATTCGATAATCTACCGATCGATCGATCGTACATGAATATTTGCTTGAATGTCTTCGCACAGTGATTTTCGGTCGGATGGCTACATTGCACCACTTCGAAGCTACGAACTGGCTTGCATTTCGCTTTTCCACCGAAATACAATCGACTAGTTCAATTTGTCTACGATTCCAATTGGTCAGAGATACTCTTTCAACCGACAGTTTCCAACTAAAGAGGGGTTTTATCGTTTGACATCTTCTATTGCAGAACAATAGAAATTTTTATACTTTGAAAAATATTAGTTCTTTGGAATTTTTATGAAATTTCTTTAATTTTCAATTAATTTTCAAAAAAGGGATTTTATCTGAAATCTTCTATTGTAGAACAATAGAAATCTCCATATTTTGAGAAACATTGAATTTTTAGAATTCTTGCGAAATTTCTTTATGTTATGATGTGCTCGTGGTAGTTGCAACCAACTTTCGAGCCTTGTCGAATTTAGCACGTGGTGTGCCGACTAAATCTAATAGGTTCGTCTTCGAAGGACCACCTCCGTGATTAGGAGGACAAAGCAACTATTGCTCATGGTCTAAACTTCTAAAAGGAGCGACTCTTGGCGTGGTCAGATGACTTCTCTCGTTCCCTTCCGCGAAAGGTCCCACGACACCTCCGTGCGAGGACGCATCGCGGGCGTGAGGCCCTCGGATAGGTTGAGTACATTTTTCGATAGTGGTGGGGAAGGGTGGTTGGC